TAAAAAAACCTCTTTATTCCCATTAAAAACAGGCAAGTATTATACACAACTGAATAAAACTGACAGTGACCAGAAACCTAGTATCACAGCAGCAAGCCAGGGAGCATCTATGGAATGTTTGGGGGGATCGACTGATAGTGTACAGCTTGTGTGGCACGTATGTTATTCTTTTTGCTGATGTGACACTGAAAAGCTGAGACATTATTATGCAAAAGCATAAAGGCAGACCACTGGCAAATTGTGACTCAGAGAACAAGGCAAAGACCAGCTCTGTTTCTTCTTGATAGCTGTGGAATAGATTTGTTGTGTTAGAGGCAAGACTAAAAGAATAGCAGCATTAGATGACAGAAGGTGAAAGAAAAATAAAGCAAATAATAAAAAAAGGATAATGGAATACACCAGCCATCAGGAAAAAGAAACATAGGACAGAGAAAAAGTTCTAGCAATGAATGTGCTACTAGAATATGGAGGCATATTGTATCACAAGGTGCAGAAAGCATAAGGCACCTATCAGTCTTGAGGCTGAAAAGATTTTGATGGGACCTGCAAAAGAGGCCACTGCCTGTTCTTCATGTCAGAATGTACAACTTTGCCAGATTCTTGCTGACAAGAATCAAGAACACTTGTATTAGGAGAAAAAGCAGCAGCAGCTCAGGTGATACCTTCTGCTTTGCAGAGGATGAAGGGAAGACAAGAAAAGACTGACTTTTCCTACCAGCATAGTAGACTAGCATATTCCTTGGAATCCTTAACAACAAGAAAGTTTCAGGGTATCCAACTTCTGGAATTTAAAAATCAATTATTATTTTTTTTAGGGAACTATCTTAGTAGCAGGGAAATAGCTTATCACAGTTCCAACTGGCATGACTAGCTGGAAGGACATTAACTTGCAAGTCAGGGAAAAAGATCGGGAGAGGATCATACGCCTAATCAGGTATATGACCACACATCACGGAATAAAAGAACATATAGGAGTGACAGGGAAAAGAATACAGCTGTTTGCATCCTTTCCAACCCCAAATCCATCATGCAGAGACACATAAGATGAACCTAAAATGTTTGTATACTGAAACTACAATGTTTGTACGCAAGGAGCTTGGAGAACAGAATGCTAGATCTGGGGTTACCAGTAAAGTCTGTGAAATCAGGTATTATGGGATTGACTAAAACACAGCAGAACAGTACTCATGACTAGAATACAGGAATTAGAGGAAATAGATAAGGCTGCTTGTAAAAGAGGACATGTGGCAGTCCAACTTCAAATGTTTGTGAGGTGGTCAATTAAAGACAGAAAGAAAAAAAATTTGCTCAAGACAAAATCAATAGTAAAAAAAGAAATGACAGTAAAGAGACCTTTGAGAGGGTCTGTTATGAAATCAAGATCAAATTTAGACATGGATTGTGTTAATTAAGATTATAGGGAAGTACAGTGGAGGAATTGTACAGTTGTGTTTTCTCAGCCTGAAAAGTCTCAAATATTCTTAAACCTATAGATTATAAAAGCTGTGCTGGACTAAGTACTTAGAAGAGTTGCTTCCGCAGGTAGACAGCTGGACTCGAGCAGCATCTTCTAGTCTTACATTTTGATGCTTATAAAAAAACTCATTAAAAGCAGTCATATTTGATCACATTTTCTTTGTATGTTTAGTATGAAAGACGTCCACTGTTGTTTCATGACAAGGTCGCAAGTCAAAGTCACAGTATCCAATGCTGAAACGACCCTGCAGAAATTAACAGAATTGACATGGTGAACATAGAACGAGCTCTTCTACAGTATAAGTTAATTAAAAAGATCAAAGCATTCTTACCTGTGGTTTCTTAAAATAATCAAGACCCCTTCCAATCTTAATCATCCATCCATTGTTGAATCTGTTTTAAAAATTCACACATGTGAAAACCATGAATATGTTGAATAAAAAAAAAAGTTATACCCACACGACACACAAGCTTCTTGTTTCAATATTTCCTAGTGTCACCAATACCTATATGAACCAGGAAAGACACCATTCTGTATAAAGAGACATCTACTATTATGTTCAGTTAGAACACATGAAACTACAGAGGGCTGATTTTACCGAGTGAGGGCCACTGCCTTCCACTTTGTTAACCACAGCTGTAATTAGAAATTGTCTCAAAAGTTAGGGTTACGTAGTTTGACTTCAAATAACTGGCATTTACTAATTTTTTATATCACCCACCTAATTTCTCGATCATGTATTGAAGATGAAAATGCAATATTCAGTGTTACTCCATAATTCCTCAGTGATTGTTGTATTTCTTCCAAGCCACTTATCTGTTGACTCCTTCCACTGCCCTGTTAAAAGTAAAAATAATGTGGAAGGTTTGGGGTTTTTTTAAACATATATTCTACTTTTGGTCACTTCTTCCTAAGCTCACCAACAAAAGCTTTTTAGTAAAAACTTAAACCCAAAGAAAGTCACTTGGATGAAGGTGGATTTGCAGTTTCAAAGACAGGATAAAAAGCAGACAGATTACAGGTACTTGCTAAAGAACGTGGAGGAGGAGGTCACTCTCAGCCCCTTGAAACTAGATATGTGTTACTATTTGAAGCAAAATACATGCAGTGATAGTTTGAGAGGTTTTAGCTCATCAAAGCCTCTAAAATGACAACTATATACAGCTGTTTGAAGAGGGGAAAAAAGGTATCTTAACAGATGTTTTGGTTTTGATGATATTTTCCACAACAAAGCTTTCACAAAAATATCTTTTCCATTTAAGATCCTGCTTACCGAAAATTTATTAGTTATCAGGAAAGCCTGAATTTATGAAGTTACTTATGTTCAACAATCATATATTTATTTTGCTCTTCGTGTTTTCTGCTGAAGGTGTCAGAGCCTCAGTCTAACAAGTACGGTTAATAATAAATGTGTATTTAAAAATAAATATGTGTGCGCATATATATATTTGCATGTGGTCATGTGTTTGAGTTACAGCCTAACTGTGGTGGTACTGCTCAATTTAGGGTTAAACACCATGCACTGTCCTTTAAGGAGGACCATTACTCAATAGTTTCACTATGTAGGTCTGGTTACTTTGTATAAACGATGCAGGGTTTGCCAGCCAGTATACCCTTGAAGAAGCAACTAAAGACTGATAAAAAGGAAACACCCTGCTCCAGAAGGCACCCGATGATTGCCAAAGCAGCATGAACTAGGGGAAAAGTAAAGGCAGCAGGAGGAGATCATGACCACTGACTCAATTCAAGACCTAAAAGACTTACCCCCCTCCCCCCCCCTCCTTGAGCACGCAGTGTAGAACACTGTACTTCTAATTCGAAGTGGAGAAAACCTTAGCCCAATAGAAATGGTGGCAGGTAAGTGACTACCAATAATGATTTTGGGGAAGGACTTTGGAAACTAAGTGGGTGAATCTAAAACTGTATAAATTGCTTGCTTGTTTAACTGCAGGGCGTGCTACCTTTGTGGAATTACCACCTAGCACCCATCTTTATGCAAATATGAAATAAATAATGTCTCTCCTGCGTGTGTGATAATTGGCTCATTGCACACCGGCTAACGAATCCGCTTTTCGGACAACAGTATCACCTGACTACAAGGAAACAGAAACCAAAGAGTAGACACTTACTTCATCATAGGAAGTGAGGAGGTGGATTGTTTTCACTTTGCATGGCCCCTTAACTAGCAGCTCACAGAATCGCAGAAAGTTATACAACTGTAAAAGTTTTATTTAATTTAGTAATTTGATTTTTTTTAGTAGTTACATCTGCATCAGTTACACCGAACATCTACTTGCCTGATGAACATGCCTAATGTACGGGTCCTCCACCCAAACTTCAGAAACAATCTCACTAAGGTACTCTTGGAAAAGCTTTTCGTAGCCGAAACCTGTTGCATTTTCCTCTATCCTGATTTGCTTATGGTATTTGCCATCTGAAAAGAAAAGATCGCGGCGTAATTCCCACGTCAACTACCTCGCCCACAAAACGTTCACGTAACAACGGGTATTTAAACGCGAAGGGGTACGTCGCAGCTCCGTACCTTGTTTCTCTTTTTCAATGTGTTTTTTAATGTCTTCGGCTCTGGTCATGTACTCGGATATTTTCTGCCGGTAACGGTGCTTTTTTGCCTCATCTTTCGTGGCTGTGAATCAAAAGCACGCAGGCCAGTTCTCCTCGAGGCGGGGGGAAGGACGGGGAGCTGAGCCCTGCCTGGCCCCCGCTCTCCCGCTGAGGGAGAGACCCCCGGCTCTCCTCTCCCTCCCCGGGAGGCGGCGGGGGACGGGAGCGGGCCCTCGGCGGCAAGCACGGCTCGTCTCTCCTCAGAACCCCCCGCGGCTGGCGGCTCCGACGGGGACGGGGGGACGGGGGGGTGTGTGTTTAACGACCAACCGCCTCAACGGCTGTAGCAAACGGCTGCCAGACCGCCCCTCGCCCACCGCCCGGTACCTTTCACCACCTGCAGCAGGAGGTCGATGCCCTCCTGGTAGCACACCAACGACTCCTGGAACCGAGACGCCAGGTCCAGCTCCACCGCCCGCTTCACCGTCTCCGCCCCGGCCCGCTCCAACGCGACGGTGCCATCGCCCCCCGCCCGCGACATGGGGGCCGCGGCGGGGACGGGGACCGGCACGCGGCGGCCACGCCTCCAGCACGGACGCGGGCCGGGCCGGGGGGAAGCTGCGCATGCGCGCCGCCTCACCCGTCGCTAGGGGAATAGA